TTTTATTTTTTTAAATTGCAGCCTGCGGGAGTTCTTGGCCGCCTTCTTCCGATCAGAAGATGCCCCGGGGGGTTATTTTAAGGCGCCCGGCTCGTTTTTCGAGGGAGGAGGAAGCGGAGCTTTTGCGCAAGAGCAAAGAATGACCCCGTCTCCAATTACGTTTACACATGGAAACACCCTTCCTTTCCGGCGATTCGCCAGTCATTCTATGCTGACTCATGACAGGTTCCTTAATTTCTTCACGAAACAGTCTGTGACTCACTTCTTTCTCTGCTGATTCAACCTTGGGCGCAATTCAAGCAACTGCTTCTTTAAATGTACGTCGGTAGCACCGCGCTGTTCCTAGCGTCCATTGTGCTCTATTTCACAAGCCACAGAATAGGCAACCTAGTGAAAATTGCCACGTAGTGTAGCTCATTAAAAAACAAACACACACGTTTGTGAACGACCAGATGGCAACAAGGAAAAACAGACTTCTCTTTGCTGCAGTCTAGCCATAGTCCAGATTTTTGCATTCCTGATAAGGTAGCCCATATTTGTAAATGTCTTAAAAGATTCTTACTGGTTTTGGTACAAGATAATCCTCTGGAATCTAGGAAAGGCACGGGATTTTTGCATTACTTTTTGATTCACAAACGGTCCACTCGGTGGTGTCATAGCTAAGGCATGAACAAAGCCTGAGAACCATATTCAGTCTTAGGCACAGAAACTCACTAGCTTTGGCCCATGGTTTCAGCCCAATGTATCTCCCAAATGTGTTGTTAATGGGGATAAAACAAAGGAAAATTTCCAGTATGCTGCCTTGGGCTCCTATAGGAAATATGTGATACAAATTTAACAAATAAAAAGCAAGGCTGACAGGGTGCTTTGAACTGGGAGCAATCAAATGCCTATTTCTTTCTGTAAGAATGTGCCTCCTTGGCTCAGCCAACTTTCACCAGCAATTAACTAAGCTTAGACAAGCTTTTGTAATTTGGATTTTTTCCATTCATCCCAGAACTAGCATAAATGAGATATTGAGTGTTGCCAAAAACAGCCATCCTGAAAGGCCTCTTCTTGTTTAGCAATGCCTTGTAACTCAAGGTTTTGATGTGTCCTACTGATGCTAAGTTTCTATGATGAAGACAAGTTTGTACCACTAAACGTTACCAGGAGAGATGCATGATCAAGAATTTTGTTTTTAATGATGGCCAGGCAGTGTCTGTATCTACTTACTTATTTATGCTGTTACTGTTCTGTATAGTTATTCATCTTGTTAACTGTTCTGGGAATCAACTGTAGGATGTTATATAAATTAATAAAATAAATGAAGGTACACAAATATGGTAAGAATTGTGGGTAACTCTGATTACTAAACTCTACATCTGGATTAACAGCCCACATCCTAAATAATGCAAGTCATTTTTGCCCCAGAATGTTTTTTTCCATCAGTTCTTTTACAACCAAACTGCAACACAGAACTTGGTATCCTGTGATAACTCTACCCCACTAAGTTTAGTTTTAATATGGCACTTATGATGAAACAGAATTATTAAAAATGAGATTTCATTGGGTTGTTTTTGGGGGGGGCATAGCTGGGAGTAGCAACTACTCAGGAATGCTTAGAGAATAGACTTTAAATTTTTAAGTCAAAAATTGGATTTATTGTAAATGCCACATCCACAGAGCACAAATTTCTTAGTAACAAAGAAACATACAGATTTATGCAACTAAGCATTTTGACTAAGAAATGCTCCTTGCACAGCTTTCGTTTAGATGTGCCTAGGCTAACCTAAATAAGCAGAAAGCGTAACAGAAAAGGAAAAAAATTAAACAAATTGCTTAACTATATTTTAATGTATATAATATTTTAATATTATATACATTAATAATTTCATCTGTATCTAAATGTAAAAATCAGGTTTCTGCAGTACATTGCAATTACCCCAATCATTTATCAGGGTCAAAAATGATAAAGAGTTTTTCTATAAGAAATCAGTTACGCAAAGAAAACTGTATCACTACAAATTTTTATTCAGAAGCCCATCTTTTAAAAAAAGTTTCATTATGAACTTGTTTGGTCAATCAACTACAACACTTTCTAACAGAGAAGGTAGAAATGGCATGGCTCAGAATCGTCCAGATCTTTCACGATCTCTTGACCGCCTTCTATCACGTTCTCGGCCTCCTCCTCCT